TTTTCATATTTGTCTTAGGCACTTTCAGTTAATTGTAATTGTGAGATCAGCAAGATCCTCTATCACTTGTTCTGAAGTTTATCTTTCCTCTGTTAAATTGCTTTTGCACCTTTATTAATATAAAAGGTTTATTTTTATGCGTCTATTTCTGTGTTCTCTGTTCTGCTCTGCAGACCTTTGTATTTGTCCCTCATCGGTAGCAGGGTCATGATCACAGTATCTATAAAAGTCATCTTGCAGTCAGGCAGGCTGATTCTTCCTATTTTATTCTTTTTCAGAATAGTTTTAACTATTTGTTTAGTTGCCTCGTCATATAAATTTTAGAATAATTGGTTTGTTTTTATCTGCAAGATTCTGTGGTATTTTATGGCATCTCTACTTTGTTTAGTCTTCCAGAGCACATGGTACTCTTTTTACTCAAACTGTAGTCCAGGCTGGCCTGGAGCTCACTACGTAACCCCAGCTGGCCTTTGAACTGGTGACAATCCTCCTGCCTCAGAATCCCAAGTGCTGGGATTATATATGTGAGCCACTATACCTGACCCTGTTGATAGTTGTTATGATAAATAAATGGTGAGTCTTTCCAAATGTTTTCTATCATCTGCTGACATAGTTAAATGGATTAATGTATTGGCTGATTTTTTAATATGAAATGAGTCTTGTGTCCTAGAAATAAAGCCTACTTGGTTGTGACTTAAAATCATTTTTATATATTGTCAAATTTCATTCATTAAGAAATTTGCATCTTTATTTATGAGATACTAGCCTGTAGTTTTCTTTTTTAATACTGTTATCACCTGGTTTATAGTAGTGTGATATTCACCTCACTAAGTTAGGAAATATTCTCCTCATTATATGGAAGAGACTGTGGAGAAGCAGGTGTTCTCATTCTGTTTTCTCTCTTTCGTTTTTTGAGAGCGATGTTTCACTGTGTAGAACAGGATGACCCTGAACTCTTAAGTCTCTTGTCTTAGCATCCTGAATGTTGAGAGTACAAGCTTGGCTTATTGTAGAATTATTATTATTTTTCTTTACATTTTTAAAAATTTGTTAATTTTGTGTGTATGAGTGTTTTGCCTGCATGTGTGTAAGCGCACCTATGTGGTGCAATGCCTACGGAGGTCAGAAGAGGGTATCAGATAGATCCCCCTGGAATTGGAGTTATAGTGCTGGGAATTGAACCCAGGTTCTCTGGAAGAGCAGCCAGTGCTCTTAAACTGCTGAGCCATCGCTCCAGCCCCTGCAGAATTATTTTTTTAAGTTTAGTTTTAATTTTGTATATACAAATGAGAATCTTTTGAATTAGGTGTATCAGTGTTTCAGTTAAGGTAGTAGATATTGAAAATCCTCTATAAAATGCCTGATCACTAAAGATCTTATCATTATTTGAGAAGAAATGGTATTTTTTTCACTCTCATTACAGAAATGCTTCCTAAGGCTGTGTTGCCAGAGTTCTCTCTGGGTCTCTTGCGATATTAGGCAAACCATATAACATATATTTATGTGCATTTATTATTATCATCATGCGGGGGAAGGGTAGTGACTTACAAAGATGCCTAGCTCGGTGCCCTCACCAGGGCTCAGAGCCCGCCATATCAGATCGCTCCTGCGGTATGCCCATAGTCATTGCTAGCTTTCGCCCACGCCTCAGGGACCAGTGGTCTCGCTCGCCCCAGGCCCACAAGTGCCAGGCCATTCTGTCCTTGAGTACACCCAGCTGCTGTGCTTTCCCCACGCCGGCCTCCGCGGCTGCCACCATCAACCCCCCCCCCCCCAA